AATAAAAACAGGGGATTATATTAATATTACCCAAATGATTAATTTAATTTTTATTATAAAATAATTAAAAAAAAATGAAAAAATAAATAAAAAGAAAAAAAAAAAAAAAAAAACATGAATTAATTCCAAGCATAAAAAATACTTTTTTTTTTTTCTTTTGAAAAAAATGAAATAATTTTATCAGATGATAAATAATATTGTTGATTATTATAATTATTAAATAAATCATAATCAATATATTTTTGTTTATATTGATAGAAATATTTATAATATCCTTGTTTAATATGATATATTCCTGATTGTGGAATAATATTATTAATTAAATATTTTCTTTTAAGATTTTCTCGTATTGATATATCATTAAATAAATCATCAATTATTGATGGAAAATATAATCTTCGATCGTTTTCAAATAATATATTTATTTCTTTTATTTTATTTATATTTAAATCAATATTCATATTCATTGAACAATATTTATTCATAACTGAAATATTAGACTAAAAATTCTTTTTTTATTTAACTTATTTATTCAATTTATCAAATTGAAATTAAAAAGAAAAAAAAAAAAAGAAAAAACGACGAAAGGGAAAAATAAATAAAAACATGCTTTACCTCTCCTAATAGATCGGATTTGTTTTGTTCTGATAACTGAATAAATAAGGTGAATATAACATGCAGGATTCAAACAAACAAATGCAAATATAAAATATAAATAGACGAACCTGATTATATTTTGATAATTGTGGCCAAACTCTTTCATACATAATTCTCCACCAACAAAGAAGAAATTCTCTTTGAATATCTTGTTGTCCATCTAAATTACCTGATAAGTTTTCATTCTGTGGATTATATGTTAATTGCCATGGTTTTAATGCACCAGCAAAATGAACAACACGAATATCATTACGAAATCTTTTTTTTTTAATTTAAAAAAACAAAAATAAAATAAATAAATAAATAAGAATACAAAAACCTTGAACTTACCGCGTAACAGCTGGAACATATGAATAAAATGTATTTGCTGTTACATTATAAACAAATGGTAAATGACGAGATATATCCGATGTTCGCCAATTTGAAAAAAAACTATTTAAAAGTCCTTGATCTCCACCTATGAAAAAAAACATAAAAGAATTTAATAATAAAAAAAATAAAATTAGTTAACCATCAAATGAAGCATGTTGTTGAGTAGCAAATTGAACCAATTTTCTAAATGTATCTTTCGATGGTCGATAAACAAAAACACCTGAATTAAAACAATCAGGCCAACCAGCATCAGGTGCAGCTGAAAATTCTTCTCGTTGAAATAAATCATCAATATCACGTAAAACAAGAATATCAGCATCAAGAAAAACACATTTGGAATATTTTTCTAAAAGCCAACAATTTATTTTTGTAAATGTAACACCAAGTTCTGGACGACTTAATAAACTTAAATTTTCAATATCATGAGAATCTAATTCTTCAACAATAACAACTTCATCAAAACTTGTTTCTAATGTTCGTCTAAAATATTTTATAATATTATTATTATTTTAATAATTTAAATAAATACTTCATTAAATCAGATAAATTTTTTGAAATCATAACAACTAAACGTCGTTGTGTTCCAACTTTGCGTAGTGATTGTGCAACGACCAAAGCTCCAAGAGCATAACCATCGTTTGTAGCCAATGTTACAAATGCTTCAGATGACATTTTTTAAATAGTTTTAGTTCAATTAACAAAAACACCTCTTTACTTATATATATATATATACAATAAACAAATATAAATCAATATAAATCAATATAAATAATTATTATTTTTTATTATACACAACTAAATTTTCTTACAGACTCTATAGAAAAAGAAAAAAAACAAACAACTATCGTACTAACTGTGTCTTATCTATCTCTCTCTCTGTATATATATATATATATATATGTGTCCACTCGTTTAGAGATATATTCATGTCTGACGACCTCACGATGCCCTCTTATATCTATATATGGTCACGTCGAGACTGCATGATTTTTCTTTCGATTAATAAATATCTTGTTAATAGTACAAGGTTAAATAATATGACCTGACTAAATAATCCAAAGTCTTCGAAAAGTTATAATTAAAAAGAATTTGTGTAAA